TTAGAAAGTCCAGTTGTGATCTAAGACTTCTTGGCTTGCAATTAAATTTTAGGATAATGTAACTATGTAACCCCCTTTTTGGCTTGCAGAAGTGAACCACATTTGGTTCAAGTGAAACATTTTCACAGCTGAAATCAAGAAAACCCAAGATGGCTCAAGGACTGACTGACCCATTCATCTCCAGGCCAGCAGGTTCTGCCAGAAAACAGTTGGGCCTCCAGTTCTGTCTACCCAGAATGAATGGGCCAGTCTACCTTTCGGTTATTCCTGTTAGAGTAGCAGTGTCTCCCTTTGATTGATCATTAGTAGTGACCTTTTTCAAGTAGTGATTCTCTCTGTCTAGTAGAGTATGATCTCAGTGACTCCACCTGTGCTCTCAACGGTTTAATCATGGATCAGTAATATAATATAAAGAAGAAAAAAAAAAGGAAAAAGCAAACCAAATAATTAGACAAAAACAAAATTATCGGTTGCAGAAGTGAACCACATACCCAATTACATCACTAAATGAAAATTATCAGGGTTTGATATAGGCTTAATTCATTATAATGATGTTGAGGCAGGATCCAGCAGATTGATACAGTGCCATTTAATCATGGAAGTTTATCCTCTAACATGGTTACATGTGATGAGAGACATTGTCGATGAACAACAAAACCAGCTGTAATTGATTAAAACGTATCCCTTACACGCCCAGTCAATCACTCAATCAATCAACCAAGCCCAGTCCTAACTGGTTGGTGCCTGATGTTTCTTTAGCAAAGCAAAGCCCAGCAACTAAGATCCTGCTTGGTTTATAGGAATGAGGGTTTGGAATCGGAATCAGAATGGGTCATTTTGATTTTAACTGTTCGGTTGAGTGAAATTGGAATTCTATTCCCACTTCTGGTGGAATGTCATTTTCTTATTTGAGAGAATAGCCATTCCCTCCTACTCTTGGGGATAAAATCTCATTCTATCTAAATCTAATTTCATTCCAATTTCTATCTGAACCAAACAGATTATAGGAATAGACCATTTCAATTCCAATTCTAAGGATCTCCGACTACAAACCAAATGAACCCTAAGTATTAAACTACTAGGAAAATAAATATAAATGGAATTATTTTTGGAAAAAGAGGCTGAGATTAGACACAAGGAAAAGAAAGCAAGTTTCTCACCGAAGGCTGCAAATAGACAAGCCCAAAAAGCAACCATTTGATGAAGAGGGGGGAGGGCGACAACCCAGTCAAGGGGGTTAAGGGGGTTGGGCCCTCTGCATGTGGAATAAACTAAAAGTTCACAATTAACAAAATGTCGTATCAGATTCAGACCTTGCCCATGACTCAGTACGCAGTAGTTGAGATAATCACTTTGGCATCACTCAAAAAAGGAGGCACAGGATCAATTCTGCAGAGATGCGGGCTCTCCATGAGATGACCAGTGGGTCTCTTGTGCACCCTGCTCTAAGGTTCAAAGTATCGATATAGGGTAATATGTCGGTTGGGTGTATCGGCCTATATCTGTACTCTCTTTTTTTTTTAATCTGATTCAGAGAAGTCGATTTAAGGCTGGTCTACCCCACCCCTGAACTACTTACTGACCTGAAACACCCCTTATATGAGCATATCAGAAAAGCTCCGAACCATCTGAATTCTGTACATGGCTGGAATTCGATGGTCCAAAGTCTGGATACATGCAAGTTTGTGTATCGGCTGGGGTGTATTGGTGCTTTAAATCATGTACTTTTTATTTTTTTTAATTTTTTAAAATTTTGTTTTTATATTATTTAATAAATAAAATAAATGGGTTTCTAAAAACATCTTAAAATAAATTTATCGAAAACTTACCGATACAATACGCTTAATATCAGATATATCGTATTGATACTTTGAACCTCCCCAGAGAAAAGAGAAATAGGAGGTGTTTTAATCACAGCCTTTGTTATTGCAATGAGACTTTATGTTAAACAACAATTGATAAATAAATGTCCCATACGAAAATTCTCTGAAGCTTTCACACTTGTGTTGACCACCACTCTGCTAAGAGATCTGCTTCTACTCTTCTGTACTCCCAAATGTTCAAATACTGTCACCAATTTTAGATAACGAAACAACATATGAAAGTGAAATAACAGCTTTTTTTTTCCAAAACTCAGTGTATTATGTTTTGCTTATATCACAAGTTTCATATAAAAAGAAAAATAAAAGAAATGCATAATGGATCTAAAAAAGACAAAAAAAAATACCTTGCATAAAATTTTCACTTATTTTTTAAACCATGCTTCTCTCATTCATCTGGATGTCTTCAACAGACTGTGTAAATGACCATGAGTAGATCAAAGGGTGTCAATGGACCAGTTCTGATTGGACTCCATCCAAATTAAAATCAATTTGAATGGATTGGATGGATCAATAAGACATATTGAATTAGACCGATCCAGACCTAATGGTCTAAAATATGTACTGGATTGGATTGGACCTGGTCCATCCATAATGAATTTGTGTTGGATTGGATAGGGTTGAACCAAATCGGTTCATTGATAGAAGATAAAAATACAAGTATTAATGGACTAGGTCTAGATTGAAACAAATCTAAACTAAAACCAATTTGAACAGATTGAATAGTTCAGACATTGAATTGGGCCGACCCAAAATAATTCAAAATATTCATTGGATTGAATTAGACCTAATCCATTTGCAATGGATTCATATTGGACTGGATCGGGTTATACCAAATCCAGTCCAATTAACACCCTAAGTAGATCCTAGTAAGCTTGAACCAGTTCAAATATCAGGAAGTCCCCTAGGCCCAATATTCCACGCTAAGAACTAAGATTGCTAAATATCAGTAGGTTGGCTTTTAGCTAATCTCAGTCCCATCTTCATGTAGAGTGCATTACATGATTATATTGTTCCAAAAGTAAAAGTAGAAAAATCTGTGAGTATGTCTTTCCTTTTACTTTTTTTCCTTTTTCTTCTCAGCCCATTGGAAGATTTTCACTTTCATGCGCCATCATCCAACATGCATTATGATTTGGGAGTGGGAATAAAGTAATAAATATAACCAAAGACTTTTGTTGAGTTTCATCAAAAATTGTGCACACGATTTTTTATCTTGAACCCAGTAAAAATGACAACTCTGCAAAGTAGCTATGTAATGTTCTGGAAGTAGAGAAAACATAAATGTCAATACAAAGACAAAAGCTGGGAGAAAAAATAAAAAAAGTAGAGAACCCCTAATTTCAAGACCAGAATATAGCAAACTTCAATGATAATCAAGAGAATGCTTTCTCTTTTTTTTTTTAATTTGTCAGAGATCTGCATAAATGCTTCTTCTTTTAAGGGTGATGATGCTGAACCCAGTAGTGATAAATTCAGTCTAAAGCAGTAGTAATTCAGTAAAGCCTAAAGGCCCTGTGCTGGGACCTAAAGAATTCTATGTCCAAGATTGGAGGTAGCCCAGCTCACATTGCTGAAGCCTGAAGTGAATTATGGTGACAAAACTCAAATGGGTTAAGGGCATGCAGACATCAGAAATTTTTAGAATGTCAGAACAGCTCTCTCGTTGAATGCCCAAGACCCTTCTTTTCCAGCCTTTGCAGTCAGTCAATGGACACCCCTTTCCAGTTCGAGCACTGAAATTCAAGGATACATCTCCACAGAGAAAGCTGTCTACAACTATTTCTTATCATTTCAATACATAGAATCTTCGAAACTACACTTTTTTTTTATCTTTTACTTCAAGGGTCCATTTGAGTCTAAGCCTGTTTGGTTTATACAAGAATTGGAATGGGAATGAGAATAGGTAGAGCTGTAAATCGGGCTGTGTTGAGCTGGTATGGCATGGCCTACATGTGGCCCATGCAAAGTGTGGGTAATGTTGTGCTGGCCCACGGATCAAGTGAAGCCATGCTTGCTTCCCCTGGGATACTTTGGCGGATCGGCCCAGCACGACCCATGGTCCGAGCCCACATGGGCCTGTGTCGTGTTACAGGCCAAGTCTTGGCCCAAGTCGAGCTGTAAACCGAGCCAAGCCATATAAAAATTTTAAAAAATAATGAAAATTTTAACATAAATTAAAAAATAGACAAAAAATAAAAGAGATCTTAAAATTTTATTTTATATGAATTTTCATGTATACAATATTGTTTGTATATGCAATAATAAAATGAAGTAATATTATAAAATTGTATACATTAATATATAATATATAATATACATATATATATAAATATAATATATATGGACCGTGTTGGGCCATGCGGGCCGCGAGCTCACATGCTGCCACGACCCACTCAATCGTGTCATGCTGACAACATTTTGAACATTATGACAAAAATGTTGATTTGGCAATAACATGACAAACATTTTGATAAATACTTATCACAAAATGTCCACAGAACAAAACACGCGCTATATATTTATTTATATAGAATAAAACATGAAAAAAAAAATTAAGCAACGGTATGGAGATGATATACAGCCAACGTGCCCAACTATTCTAAGAAACGAAACCCACCCTAAAATTAGACGCCTATGTTGCATAGTACTACTTCATGAGAGGTTCCCTACCAAGTGAACAAGTAAACTTCAAATAGGAAACAAAGAAACTCCATCTTGAATAACTTATTTACAGGGTATTTTACAACATCAATATTTTTGTTTTTGAAATCACATCACTTAAAAAACAAAAATATGTTATTAACCTCTGTTTTTATTTTCAATGGAAAAAAACAAGTTGATTTTATTTAAAAAAACAGTACATGTTTTTAAAACCAACAAAATATTGGCTTTTAAAACAAAAACAAATTCTTTAGCATATAATTTATATAATTTATGGCACATGATGTTGAATAATCAGATCAAAACATATTTTTTCTTTCAGTTTTGAAAACAGAAAATACACATACGATCAAATAAGATGGTTTTGATTTGTTTTTGCAACAGACAAAAGAAAAACACTTCAAGTTGAAGAACGCCCCTTAATTTTTAATTTTCTGAGATGTCATTACTCATGAATGATTATAGGGTCTTAAAACCTGACTTTAATACTGTAAAGGATTAGTACAGGAAAAGTTATTGGAAAGCTTTACACGCAAGTAATCTTTACATCGCTCAAATAAATATAACTACATCATAGCTGATTTATCATCCAATGGTATCTATTTCATTTTTATGATCGTTCAACGTGAAACTTAACAAGCATCCAAAAGATCACTGGAATATTGGAACCGTCGTGTCTAATGGCATCTTACGCTCTAGCAAAATTTGACTACCTTTTGCCCGCTTGTCCAGTTCTGTGTATCTGCTTGTAAGGGACCAAAACTCAGACCGGACCAGGTTGAAACATCAGTTCCCTTTTTCTGACAATTTTGAATTTGGGCTCCTTGGAGGCAGTCCAAATCCCCAGCCAGAAAAGTGCATAGCTGTATTTTCCATGAGAAAAGCTGACATTCAACTAATGGGTGTTCTTTTGTTTTGAAGAAAAGAACCTGCTGAATCCACGTGAATGTTTCTCTGGGGTAGGGGTTGATGAGGAAGAAGAGGAGACTGAGCTGTTGTGGCTGTGTTTTGGATGCTTGGAGTTTACTGGTGATCTCAAGAGCAGGTTAACTTCAGTGTCAGATGAACCAAGTATTGAGTTATATGTTTCTGAGGGAGACTCTCCACCCATTCTGTTCATGTTAGAAACAGAAGTTCCCATCTCAGCTTGATCCAAGTCTTGCGAAATTCCCATGCCTTGTGGGTTCGAGAAACTTGAACGCGGTTCATCTTCCATGAAACCTTCATCCATTTGATGCATCTCATTGTATGGAGAACCTGCAAACTCCACTGGAGGTCTCAAAGCTTTCAACTGCCTGCCTAGAAGAAATATAGTCTCCTGACACTCTGCTAGCTTCTCTGCTGCAGCTGCTATCTCTCTCTCCTGTGATGACAAAAGCAAAAGGTCTCAGTATCATCATTATGGATAGAAGGCCTAAATGGAAGAGAAGACAACCTCATTAGGTTTTTTTCTGTAGACAAATGGAATACACCTAAGGTGGGACTTCAATTCAAGGTCTCCCCTAGAACCAGCTAGAGGCTTCATCAGCAAGCTAGCTGGCACCTCCTATGATGATGCCAGGGGTTGTATGTATTCTTGTTTGTAAGTTTCATTTTCTACATTGCCGATTAGGTAAAGAGAAACCCTTGAAAACAAATCCCATTGTGGAATACAAGTAGCAGAACATCAAACACAATATGCAGTCATGTACCTTGGCAATTCTACCACAGGACTCAGATTAACAAAGGAATTCCTCTGTACATTAATAATATTGAGAAGAAAAACCATCAACAAAAAGAGACCAATATATGTCATCACTTAATAGAAACAATTGATTCCAATACAAAACTGGCTTCTAGTCCAGCTTAGAATTACATAAATGCAGAAAGTATGTACAACACTTTTTTCCTTCAAGAAAAAAAAAAATCTAGTTTCATGAGGACCAGTATTTTTGGAAGCCAACCTCCCAATTGACAGCTCCTAATTTGTAAGAAAAAGGGTCAAGTAGCAGAAGCTAGTCTAAAATAAAAGGGTTCTAGGAACTTCGCTGTAATTTATTTTAATTAATAAATTTGACCACTAACAATCAAAAAAATATGCACTTATATGGACTGCACACCATCACTCTTACCAACTTAGAAGTTTATAACATTATGCTTTGTACCTGTTTTGTCTTGAGGTCAATATCAACAGCAGAGGTTGAAGAACACTTCGAGCAGTTGTCATTCCTTACAGGAAATAGCACATAATGAGTCAGAAATAAAACCAATCAAATGAAGCATTAAGGCATGCCACAGATCATCTATTAACATGAAAAAAATGAGCATATCAAAATGCAAGAGATAGGCTAACATCATTCATTTGGTGATACTATGCAAACTTAGTTTAACAAGAAATCCTGGAGGACACTATATTATCAGCAGCCTATATTCTTCAACTCTCCCCAAATGCACAAGAAATCCCAAGGATTCTATATCAACCAATTCTGAGGAAACATCAAATTACAATGGCTAGCATAAGTCATAAAAAATTTCTAGGAAGAAACTCAGTGGCTCACCTTTGTAATTGTTCTTCAAGATCCTTGCATTTGACCAAAGCATCTTGATGATTCCTCTTTTCCTGTTGAAGCTCATTATCTAAATTTTCTGCTTTTGCACGCAGAAAAATGACTTCGGCTTCCAAGTCCCCTGCACGAGTTTCCAGTGACTTGTAAGATTCAGCCATACATTTCAACTGAGTATCTGCCAAGCTGTTCATTTTCTGTGAAGATGCCAATTGTGATTTAAGTTCAGCTAGGAGTTGTTCTGTTTCCTGCAACTGAAACTTTGTATGTTCCAGATTTTCAGTACACCTTTGAAGATCCCTTCTCATATTGTCATTCTCTAATTTCAATTGTTCCAACTCCTCAAAAGAAAATTTGCATGACGTAGAACTCAATCCAAAGCCTGGACCAAAACTTTCTTCTTGAAGAACCTCAGGATCGGAAGTAGAATGAGGAATGTGAGTGCAACCACTAAGAATTCTCTCTTTTACTGTGTCATCTTGAATTACCTTGTTTTCTAATAAAGTTACCTTGTCTATGCAATCAGAGCTGTTGTTTTCCCCTTCATTTCCTTTATAACCCAGGACATTAAAGCTAAGTTCACTAGCCTTGGCCAAAACATGAGAAAGATGGAGAACAAAGTTCACCAAACTCATTTTATTGCATAGGACTTTGTTGACAGAGGAAGAGAACTCCTCAATTTTTTGGCATAACCCTTGTCCATCAGGAGATGGGTCCTGCAAGCCCATAGCCTCTTTTCCCAGTGATGTTACAAAATCATGAATGTGAGAAACAGCAATTACCAATTCTTGGTCTATGGCATTCTCATTATCTTGGCCTGGTTCTTTCTCTTCAGTTAAAGAAATCTCACTCTCCATGCTTTCCCCAATATCTTGAGGCGATACCTCCTTGTTGCAAATAGAATCTGCAGAAAGAGATTCCGGCAAAGTACTACTTAGAGATTGCTGAGAGAGTGTATCTTGTATATCTTGCACAACATGCTTGATACCCTCTAAAATCTTCTCAACATTTGCATCCTTATCTTGAGACTCAAGTATCATTAAAATTCTTGATTGGAGTTGTGAAAATGGTACTTGAGTAGCAGTAGGCTCAACTTCTGGGGCTGACAATTCCACATTAGAAGAAACCTGATCTCCTGATGGATCAAAACCAGTATGTTGTTCTGCAGTGATATCCCCACCTTTAACACTATCAACTAAAGCATTAACCTCTGTATTTTCAGCTATCTTATCGGTTAAACCATTTGAAACAGATATGCTCCCATTGGATTCAGTGGATAAACATGCTAATCTCTCCATCTCCAGAAAGTCATCCATAAGCTCCAAGTGGTTAGTATTTTCGGCCTTGTTAGTTTTGTCAATATTCCTTTCTTTCTTGAAATGAGAGAGTTCCGAGATCAATGCCGTAGCCCAAGACTCAGCACAACTTGCATCCTCATCGAGTCCATCTTCAGACATGGAAGTCAAACTAGGAGGAGTGCTTGCATTTTGACTTGAGGAGCGTTCAGTAGGCATCTCAGCATTAGATTTTGGTTGGTATGCCATCTGCATCTGCACTTCTAAGCTTCGAAGCCGGCTAGCTGTTTTAGCATACATGTTTCTTGAATCTTGCAGTTCACTGTTACGCTTGGCCAAAGCTTCTTTCAGCATCTTTGTCTCTTCCTCCATTGCCAGCAAACGTGCTGTAAGAAACTCAGTCTCCTTATGGGATTGATGAACATTGTCAAGGGAAAATTCAGACAGCTGACTAGGACTCTTTGCGGGAGATCTCCGTAATCTAGTTTCACCATGGTCTCGACCTAAATTCTCCACTTCCATCTTCATCTGGGCCAATGCAGCAGGCCCAGGCAACTTCTTTCGAACAAGGCCACGTAATCTTTGACACTCTGCTTCTAGCTTGGCAATTTTCTTGACACCCTCTAAATGTTGCTTGTTAGCTACCTCTGCAGATCTTACACTCATGTTCTTTTCTTCATTCCGGATTTCGAGCTCCTTGGAAACTATATGGAGCTCATACTTAAGAGAACTTATCTCTTTTTCACATGACTGTATGTTGGCATTTAAAAGTTCGATCTCAGCCTCTGCTTGAGACTTTTCCTCACTGATCTTCATTAGCATGTTGGAACGCTCCTGCAGTGACCTTGAAATTGCAGCATTCTCAGCAGAGGACCTAAGGAGTTCTTGCTCTAAATCAGAGATCTTTGTTTCAAGGTCATGTTTGATCTTGTCCCATAGCTTTGTTTTGGTAAGAACAACCTCATGTAATTTCTGCTCATGTTCTTCCTTCAAATTTCTTATCTGCCTCATGCACTCTTTTAGAGCACCATCCAGATGGGTTGCTTTATCTTCAGCAGTAAGCTTGAGAAGTGTAACAGACTCAAGTTGATGTTTTAAAGCCAAAGCTTCAGCTTCAGCCTTTTCCCAGCCTGCATTAAGCAGAGTGGTTCAGTTCTGAGAAAAAGAAAAAATATGACAGCTAAAAAAGAAATAAGATAGTGTATCCCAATGCAGGAAGTTTCCAAAAATGCTATTTTTTATCAATAAATGCAAAAAAAAATACTATATATAAAGTGGTAATATAGAAAAAATTATGATACTCAGATATGAAGCTTTTTATAGATTGATGAATATTAGAGCATGTCTATGGTTTATACCTGAGACAGCTTCTTCAGCAACTTTGGCATGCTGCTTGACCAGATTGTCCTTGGTAGTCATCTCTGATTGGGCTGATGACAGCTTCTCATTCAATACCTTAATTTGATCCTCCATCACCTTAGCTTGATCTTCCATCATCTTAATTTGATCCTCCAATCCAGTCAGATGAGTATATGACTCCACAGAAAGTTGAACATAGTTTACTTTCTTTGGATTATCCTGGCAACAGAGGGAAAACCATTTATCCTAAAAATCCAGAATAATGACAATTTACAGCAGTTAATAGCAGAATAATCCCTAGGGTGTGCAACACTGGAAAAGAGGGAATTGTAGAAGGAGATTTACTTCAAAGGCATTGTATTTCATCATGGCTAGCAAAGTACTGATATGACACCTACAACCTAAACAAATAAGAAAAGAGCAAGAGAGATAAATTTTGAAACAGAAGAAACTGAACTTCAACTCACAATAGCAGAATCTCATTTCAAGGCCTCAATTCTACATGGGTCTCAAGAGGAAAACCTCACACACCTTCCAAATACTGCTATGCATTTGGAGTTTCCTTTTGTTTTGTTTCTTGGAGTTCTTGTAGTACCTCAGTCTGCACTCTGCACTCTGCACTCTGCACTCTTTAAGTTATTGTTTCAACCTACCATGGAGTTCTAGCATATTTCAGTGGCTCACTCTACCTACTTATGCCACAAGGAGTCATAGTTGAATCAATAAAAGATTTACCTAATAAGTATCAGATTGGTGAGGCTTTAGAAGTAGATTCCACCTTATAAATGGAGGGAAGATGGCCAAATTGATAGAGTTTCTGAGGATATTGCTTGAGGATTCCTGGGATCAAGCAACCCCTCATCTCTTGCTGAGGATATTGCTTAAGGGTGCTATGTTACAGGGACATCTAAATGTGCAGCATACCCATCTCAGGCACATGAACACAGAAACCAACATAAAACTTGAGGAGTTTTCTCTTTCTTAATCGATAATATGTGATTATAGAACCTTTATCTTTTCACTACAAAATTTGGGCATAAATAGTGGACTTCTAATATGTAATAACTTAGTATAATCAGTTATATATCATTTTAATTGTCTAGCATTGTTGGCATTGATCTATCCTCTATGTTTAATCTGTTTCCCTTTCCAACAATTATTAAAAAAATGAACTTAAAAATTAAATTATACCTACAAATTCCCAAACCATATTTTTTTAGGCACCTTATACCTGTTTCAAATCCCAACACTCATACCCACATCTGTGTGTTAAGTCGCCATCAACTTGCAACAATCACTTTTACAGGTGCTGTTGATGGTCTTCCATGCACATGACCAAACCATCTTGATCTACTTTCTCTCATTTTATCACCTATCAGAGCTACTCCTAGGCTCCTCTGAATGACTTCATTTCTGATCTTATCCTTTCTAGCTTTTGCACTCATCCATCTCAGCATACACATGAACATGTTTCTTGACTGCACAACAATCTACTCTATCTGGCTTACAACTGTATTATACAATTTTCCATTTAATCTAAGTGGCATTTGCCTATCGCGTAAAACTCCAGATGCACCCTTTCCATTTTGCCCATCCTTCTCTAATTCTATGGGTAGCATCCTCCTCAATCTCTCCCTTGTTATGAATTATAGAATCATGGTACTGGAAAAGGTTACATTGAGTTATCTTTCGTTCTCCAATCCTAGGTGTACCCTGGATTGCACTCCTAGTACTATTAATTTTACATATCATATTTTCTGCGTTAAATAAGGATCCCAATTGCTAACAGTCTTACATGCAACATTTTGACTGGCCTTTGCTGCCTGCACTAATCCGCTCGAGATTTCGGAACCTATATCTGTGTCTCCAACACTGTTTTACTAGGGTTACCCAACCCTGGGTTTCCATGGATCAACTACCTTCTGATTCTGCATTCTCTATTCTTACTATTACTTCACCCAAAGACCACGTAAGTTGGCCCTTTGTGTTTTTTGTTGTTATATCCAACTTCCCAGGAAGGCTTGTAAAAGCATGTCTATTAGTTAAAAACTGCAGCTATTTGATAACTCAAGTTTGTTGGTAGTATACTTGAAGAAATACTAAGTAACCAGAATATTCCCATATTTAGGCATTACAGTGATGATGATCAGCTCAATACAGAACAAATTACATTATTATTTAAAGTATCCATCCACCTACTAGTGACTGGTGTCAATCAAATACATTAAAGGAAACAGGCAAAGAATTGTCAGGACATGGTTGTTACAAGGAAATAAATCATCTGGGCTGTTAGGAATCTTTACCACAAATATATATATATATATATAATAGAAATTGAAAAAAGAAGAATAGTGAAGCATTCTCTGTCATTTATGGGAGCCAGATATCAATCAAATCCTGTCAAACAACTATACAAGATAATATTTAAAGCAGTCCACATACAAGGAAAATATGACAGATATTCACAATTTTAATGTATGAGCTCAAAGACTATTAGCTCAAAGTTATGGATGGGAGAATATGTATGAATAGTAAAAAATATTCAGGATTTTTTTATGAATAGTAAAAAATCATTTCAAATAAATGAATAAAATTACAGCTTCAACTTTATCATACCTGCTCCACTTGAGATCCAACTGAAGCACCAGCAGAATCTGAAACAATTGCTGTTTTTTCAGTCTTGTCTGATGATTTTTTCTTCCAAGGCCAACCACGACGATCCATTTCAAATTATATAGTCTGCATATAAAACAGATGATGAATATGGAAATTTTGAAATTAAAAGAACGAAAAAGAAACATAATAACAAAAATGTGGATACTAGTGAAAAAAAGCAACTATAAACAATGGTAATCAGGCCGCCGTGTTGATTATAATCATTTATAATTCACAATATTTACAATTTAAAGAAAATAATAAAGAATGTGCAACCTTAATTCAGGAACATTAACATGGATCATGGTACAAGTGCCATAAATTAAATATTAAAACAAAATATAAATACACATTGAAACAAAAAAAAGGACCATTTATTAGAGTTTATCTATGTCACATTAAAAACTTGTGGCTATAATGTATCAAATAGTTTGCTAACAAAATGTCTTCCCTAATAAGTAACCTATTATAAAATGATAGAAAGAACTAACAAAGAAAGCACTCCCATTACATGGAACTGTGCTCATGAGAAAATCCATTAAATGTAGCAAAATTCTTTGGAAATGCTAGTTCAACAACCACAGGCCTCTAGATTGCATTGCCACTGCAGACATTCCAACTAGAAGTACATAGAAATTTACCTTCTCTTCTCTGGTTGCAGCTGGTTCCCAGACTTAACTTCCCAACATCCCCTGTTTTAACCTTGCACTAAATATTCCTGAGTTAGGAATCACCTGCAACCGGAACTGAAAGCGAACTCATGCATCAAAAACAGCAGTATCTGCAGCAATCATGCAACTTGGAGGTTCATAGCACTAGCATACCCAAATTATTTTGCCTGTTGAGAAAATGGACATGCATTCTTTAGACTCTACCTATCTGTATATGTTATAATTTTACATAACCAGTCTACATTTTGCGCTTATCTTTGAAATTTATAGTTTTACACAATCAGCCCCTTGTAGATTATGGTAATGTATCCTAAAGAACCAAAGACTGAACTCTCAATCTGGTAGCCTAGACCAAAAATGAGGTCCTCCATGGAAGGGCATCTGGACAGAATTGAGATGTTATCTAGTAGCCACTCAACCTCATGCCCAACGCAAAAATACATTGACAAACTTGCCCACGTTGTCTAGTCTCTGATGTTTCAAATGTAATAACAATGTTCTCTAACAATGACATTCTTTACCTCGTTAGTGCCTATCAAGTATCAATATGGCAATTCGATACTCAAAACAAACACTGATCAAGGGAAACAAACCAAAACATCTAGGAATGAAATATTAAACGAATAAGAACTTGAACAAATGTTAAACGAAGAATACAACACTGAACTACAAAGTGCAAAGTAGAAACAGATCTAGAAGAATCATAAGCTCCAACAACCCAGAAGGTTCACACTGAAAATATCGTCCCCGACACGCCTTCTCCAGAGAAAGTAAAAAAGTAAAAAGAGCAAAAAAAACAGAGGCAATGGCATCCATTACCAGAAAAGTCGATTCAAATAGGAATGCTTGTTACCCAGATGGCCAGATACAAAGATGAGCATTAGCAATTGAGGCACATGAATCAAATGCTCATGCATGTCAATAAAATACACAGTTCCATCCACTGTAGGACAGAAATCTGCAGAGATCTAAATGAGATAGCCTGTTATAAACTACAAAGGATCTCCATTTTTTGAAGGATGGTCAGAAAATCCAACCAAAACCTCAGACAACACAAAAAAAAAGCACGTCCGATAAACAAGTATATAGCCACGCAACGGAAGTAATCGGAAATTTAAAACAAAAATAGAAAAAACTTTTTTTTTTTTTTGAAAAGCCGCACAATGTAAGTCCCCTATGGAAGAGAAGATAAAAGGTTGGCTTTTATAAATGAGCAGATACAGCACACTGCAAGCAACAGTACTAGAGTGAAAGCAATAAGAGAAGGATTTCATTCAATGAAAAAAGAAGCTAAATCGCAGCTCAGCCTTCGAATCGGAATAAAATAACAGAAAAAAAAGGAGAAAAATAAAACCTCCATTTCCTTCTTCCGCGTTTCTTGCCAAACTACACTTCCGACCTCCATCCACTAAATTCAAACAAAGAAGGACACGAATACAGAATAAAACCTAAATTGAGGAGGTTTAAAACAAATTCCACGGCAATAGAGTGACGATATACATCTCCAATACGTGAACCAAAAAATCCCATAATCGACATCAGAACCAAAACACAGAGAAAATAATAAAGCAAAGCAGACTTGCTGCGACGACAAACAAAAGATCAACATTGACGTGCCATAATAGAGATTAGAGAGAGAAGTGCAGGGAAAGGCGATACAAACAGAATCATTCATACCTGAAGAAATGGCACTTTTACAAAGACAAATTACAACAACAACGAAGAGAAATTGGAAACTTCAGGGCAGATCTGGAGAACAAATTCTATAGTTGCAAAGACAGACTTGTTTGTGGTAGAGATGGAGATTTTGAACTTGAAAACCTCTGAACTTTTTCTCAATTTTTAATAATTTCCTCTTTGATTCTTCTTCTTCCTTCTTCTTCTTTCGGTGACAAAGAGAGAGAGAGAGAGCAGAGAGGTGGGGTGGTGGTGGGTGTTGTGGGTTAAAATACTAGCAGCGGGTGTCACTGGAAGCAACAACAACAAGTATTCAACTTTCAAAAGGCTCCAAAAAATGGCTCCTTTGATTGATGACTAAAAACAGGAATATATTTTAATATTTTATAAATTGCGCAAGAAATTGGTTATGGTTAATCACCATGTAAAGACCAAACTACCCCCGACAATTTTCCAAATATACAATAGGCACCTCCCAAGTCCGAATATCTGCCAGCTGCTACGTATGAGTATGAGCTGTACCCTACGTTGTATTTTCTGCCCAAAGTCTCGCGCTTAGTTGACAATTAACAGACATGCATTTACTAGCCAAAAGAAATCGAATTGGACCTTGGACCACCACCACCACCACTTGATGGGTCGCTTTCTTGTATGGGCCGTTTCCCCCCCCTTCAATAAATGGACTTCTTTTATTGGGCTGTCATTTACCTTGATTAAGCCAGGTTGGGTTTTCTTGAAGAGGCTTCACTTGATGCATCTCATGTATGTAGGGGGGACTACTATGGTCCTTGTTTCATTACATTTACACTACACTTTTAGCTTATTCTCTTCTCTACCTAAATTCTATTCTTTTAGTCCATAGTTTGATGCTTTCCTTTCTTTACTAAAAAAGCAGTAGGAAAAAGGACACACTGACATTAAGAACTTTTCTTACTTTTTACTGTATAATTCCATTCTTGCCTTTTTTTCAAAGGTAAAAAAAGAAAAAAAAAAGAAAAAGAAAGCAAGAAAGAAAATTCCATTCTTGCTTTGGCCTCACGTCCAAACCATCATTCGCAAATATTGATCAACTTATTTTCTTCTTCTCATCAATCTACCCTTTTCTCCTCTATCTATCTATCTATCTATTATTATGTTTAAAATTCAATAATATCAATTTTATATTATTATTACAGCACTAGTAGTAAGGAGAGAATCACCTTTTAAATAACTTCTTTCTTAGGAGGTTTTTGGTCCGATGGTATTGCATTGCTGTTGTGTTTTAGGTTGATCAATATAAAATTATAAGAGAGAGAGAGAGGGTGATATTACTATTTGAAATGTTTTGAAAACTTTTGAATTCATCAATACAAATTGTTATTTTTATCCAAAATATCAAATTCTATGTTTCTCACACATGCATTTTTCCAATGTTCAAGATAACGGACCAGACCAACTGATTGAATTGGTTGAACCATGACCCAAGGCCTTGACCAGTTCGGTCATACCCCAATAACCGGACCTGTTCAAAGAGTCAAAGCCTACTAAAAACCAGTGAACTAGTCCTGATTTTCATGAAACCGCCTATGTCAATATATAAGTGAAAATTTTAAATCTTGTTAAAAAGATTTGAACCCAAGACCTCTTATCTTCATAAATTATTTAATTACCACAAATCCACCTCTTTACTTATGCTAATTAACGATAACTTATTATATATATTACATTATTATGTACGTATTTTAAAGAAAATGTAAGTCAAAAGGCTTAAACCCTAGTCATTTGTTTTAAAAATTAAGCAACTTACCATCCATCCACCATATTTAAATACATTAAAAATTATAAAATATATTATATATAGTATTTATATGACTCATAGTATATATGTATATGTCACATCATCACAGTTTGACCCTGGTCGAACCTCTAACCTATGAACCTCTTCCTTTTCCGGTTCTATGCCCGATTTGAATCTCTAGACATTGCATTTTTCTAATCGAAATAACATTTATGTATGATATTATTTTTTATAATTGACACTCATATATGATACGACAACACATATAAGCGCAATAGCAACACAACCACCACACCAAACACCCCTTGATGTCTCCAACTATTATGATATATTGGTTAGATACTTGGAATAAATTAAATTAGTAAAAATTAACAGCATCTTCAATAACAAATATGAAGATAATGATGATTTTTATTTGTGTACTGCTTCCATATATATTATCTAAATGATAGAAAGGTGCAAGACTGGCTTGCTGATAAATTCTGATTGCAACAGAGATTTTAGGATTGAGTCCTGCTTTGACAATTCCGGGAGATATTTCCAATGCACACAGAGGTGTATATATGGGGCGTTTTCTGTGGGGTACAGATGTGATCTCTTGGAGATATTCCGTTACCCAAATTTAGTTAAGTTACAGGCAGAATTGGCAGACCCCTGGTTGGACCAAGCGGTTCACCTAGTCATTGATTACCTTTTATAGGTCTTGGTTAATTAACAGTTTCAATGGTCAGAAACTCAGAATTAAGTCACTTTTAAACTATAAACTTATAAGTATTACATTGTATGGTGCTTAGTATCATTAATAGTCGATTTCTCAATGATACATGAAGGTTAATAGACGACAGGGTTGTTAAACAAACAAAATGAAAATGAAATGGACATACTTAGGACCATATATGACTTGTTAATTTTTAATTTAATAAAATAATATTCATTAAATTCATTTTAGATTAAGATATATTAATCAAGGTTTTAAATATCGATACAGCCTATTATGTGAATGGGGCGTTTGGCTGTTTTTACTTTTTTTTTTTTTTAAATCTATTCAGAGGGTTGATTTAAGTCCTATTTATCCCTTTTCAGGTCAAAACCTGAAGCACTTACCGTAAGAGTATATTGGAGGGTCACCCATTCATCACATTCCTGCAAGTTCCGGTTTAAAAAGCGATTATCCATAAATTCAATTTTGTCTTCTTCATTATTTTCCAACACATTGAAATATTAGAAAATTTAACCCTTTGCCATTAACCAATTAAAATACGGGAACTGTTTTTTTTTTTTGAGAATTAATTCCATTTATTTTTGACTTGACTCTTATTTAAAAAAATATTATATTCCCATTCTGCAACAAGACAGAGAAAAGCTTATGTTAAAGTGAGGGTGGTGAAATCTCATTCACGCTATGCCGACAGTGAACTTGTCCTAGTAGATCTGCGGTTAAACTTTTAACTGCACTCGTTTGCGGGGAAACACTGACCAGGCTGAGGCTATACAAATCCAAGCGCTTACATTGGCTAATTCTAAAAAGGAAACAGGCCAAGTCAATGGGGTTATCGAGACACGTACATCTACCTTTCTGAGTTTCTGTATATGATACGAATTGATTTGACAAGGATAATTTTCTTGCCAATTTTGACCATCCCATAACAAAAGCATACTACATGAATCAATCTTTGGTAGACAATAGGTACGTATAGGACTATAGGTAGATAGAAATGATCAAATGAGACTATCTAGAGGGGTACGGGGCATTTTGGTCGTTTTCTATAAATTTGGAAATCTCTACCACCTTGGTCTGAGAAAACGTTTTCTACAATAACGGTGCCACATCAGCATTAAGTCTGAAATCCTTTTTTTAAAATATTTTTTTCATACGATGCTTAACGCTAGACGTGAGCAAGAAAAATCGAAAAATTGACCAAAATCAAATAAAAATTTCCATTAATTAAACAAAAACTCGCAGTTAATCGTAGTGCTGTTTATGGGTCGGTTTATTGCTGTTTTTCCAATTGACCCGACCTGGTCGAATTGTCTGAAAATGAAATTGAAACCGACCTTGTGTTAGGCAAAACTGACCTGATCAGTTTGGGTCGGTTTGAGTGCTTGAATTGAGGGGCTAAAGGAGTAAGGGCGGACCAAGTTAGAAGTTACCAAGAAAAGAGAGTCAAATTGGGTTAGAAAAAAAGACAGAAATTTGGAACTTTTAAAAAAGGCTTCTAATCTAAGTAAAAGGACACCTAATTGTAATTACCTATCTGGTGTAAAGGACCTTAGAGAATAGGATCATTTCTTTAAACCTTCCAAAAAAATGCAAGAAGCTATTAATGGCATTCATTATCTTGTAATGCTTGCCATTAATGACATTCCTGAAGAAAATACTATAAAGTAAAAACTATAAATAACTAGATAGTAGAAACTAAATTAGGTACTAACTACTAAGTACTAACTAGGAGGTAAGTTGGTTCGGTTTCGGTTTTCATGTGTATAAATCGAAACTGAACCGACCCATCAGTTTATGTTTTTTAATAACCTAAAGCCGCCTGTTGCTAAAGAATACCCGGCTGACTCAGGTTGGATCAGACCGGGTTGGTCAGTTGTCGGTTTAAATCTTCTTATGAACAGCCCACAGAAACCAACAACGTTTTCAAACAAAAAATTAAAAAGTAAAAAAAAAAAAACGGCATTCCAACTTTTAGTAGGTATTTGGTACCATAGCTATTTTCGATGAAGTATTTTCTAGAGAAAACGACAGTGCAACACCTCATTGGAAACAGCCACAAAACGGCTTTTTTGTGGTTACGAGTTATGCAGCCACATAACCTCATCGTTGTGAGAAATACAGGTCTCTTGCTCAAAACACCTTTTGCGGTTGTGACCTGTGAGTTAGGTGGGGTACGTTTTTGCTCGTTTAAGAGTCGGAGTTACGGGGACATAGGGGAGCTATGCCCCCTCATCGAAAAATCCTCACTTGTTATATACAGTATTTTATGCAAAATTTCCCCCTCTCCCACTCCTCACTCCAATGGTTGTCCCATATAGGCCCATTTATATTTAGTATATGTTTGGTATGGTTTCTATTTATTAAAAAAACATTTATATTTGATTTGTCTTTAAAATCGAAAAAAAAAAATGATTGATAAATGTTTTTTTTGCGATTTATAGACAATTAGATGTCATTAGTCACTACATCAGTGGAACAGTAAATAAACACTTAACAGTTGGGGAAAGTGTTAACATGAACCTTCCCCCAACGATTGACACGCACATAAATGCTGATTTCACAATGATATGGCACCATTTATCAAATAAATGGAAGCTATACCAAACACCGCCTTATTCCTCCCAGTTAAAACGGTCTAACCAAATACATTTTGTATCCATTGAAGTATAATCTCCTACTTGGCCTAACCTAGCCTGAGCGTGAGCTGGTTACCTGGTAACTGATAGGTCCTACCCTTAACCATTCCAAATCTAAATGACAAAAATACCCCTACTCCTCTGTTTTAACTTTTTTCCAAAACGATGAAAATATCCTCCAATTCCTAACTCCCACTA